ACCTAATAAGTTAACTCACTCTTCCTATGGATAGGGGACCCATTAAAGCACAACTATATATTGTGGGGTTAGGGGTGCTTTTCACACACACATGTGCCAAGCCAAGCTGGGTTGGACGCACAACACACCATATCCTTTTTATCATTTTAAACTTTAATTGCTTGTTTAATCATCGTTTTTTCTTCTTCCTTGTATCTCTTTAAACAAGTGACTCTCTTGGGCTGTTTTTTTATTTGTTCAGGTGTTTGTTAATTCTCTATAAATAAAGGATCAGAGAAGCCAGTGACACACAATTCTTAACAGTCATCTTGTGTTTGTTATCTTAGTCTAAACATCTTCATAAGTGACTTGAAGAGGGCTGGTAAACAAGTACAAGTCTATCAAAAGCCTATGGATGGACCGTTTCATCATAGAAACTAATTCGCAAGATCTTAGTTGTACCATAGGGGGCAAATGTGGTTTTAAGGAAAGTGACCAAGTGACACAACTCAGGCCAGTTCGCACTTTCATCACTCGTTTCACACAGGAGCATTTCATAGCTTGTGTTTTGCATTTGCACCTGGAGTCTTTTTTTTCTTGATAAATGAGTAAGATTTTATTCAAAAAAGATCAATATGATAATACAATACAGACTGTCCAAGGAGAGGCACGAGCTAGTACCTCTCCTAAACAACAACATTGTATTATTACATCAGACTAGAAAACAAAAATTTACAAAGCTGCCCAGAATAAATGTTCCCTTGAGGCCCCTTGCTTAGCTAACCCATACGCTATGGCATTAGCTATTCTACCCACCCACTAAGAAGTAAAAGTCATGTTCCTTGAAAACCAATTAACTTTCCTCAGAAGGTCCCTATAGCACCAAATAACTGAATCTGGATTTGTTAGCCAACCCACAACAACTTTGGAATCTCCTTCAATAAGCAGATTTTGAACTCCTAACTGGTCTACAATCTGAATACCCTGTACCACCGCTAGACGCTCAGCTCTAATAGAATCTCCTATACCCATGGGGCCTAAGAATAAGGCTAAAGTTCTGTTGTCTTTATCTCTCAGCACCCCTCTTATCCCTGAAGGACCTGGGTTGCCTTGGCTACTACCATCAAAATTCAACTTTGTCCAGCCTCCGAAAGGACACACCCACACAGTTGGTACCCTATTCTTCCTGGTACTGCTACTAGCTACAGTTATCCAGTTCCTCCAAATGTCATCAAGAGAATGTGTGAAAGGAGTCCAAAGATCTCAGCCAATGGATTACCCTAGTCAAAATACAATCCTTTACAATCTGAATACTTCTCTCCTTCTCTTGGAATAGCCCAACATTTCTTTCTTCCCAAATTGTCCACAAAGCAGCAGCTCTAATGCACCTCCACATTGTTTTACCAGTTTTTGTGGGCCACACAAAGGAGGGATCATCAAAAAGTTGATCGATGGTTGTAGTCAAATTCCACTTGCACCCAAACAAGGCAAAGATCCAACCCCAAATAGTAGCAAAAAAAGAACAAGTTAAAAGTAAGTGGGAGCAATCATCACCATTAACCCTGCAAAGTACACACCAGTTAGGAGATAAACACATGGAAGGCCCTCTCTTCTGCAAGTAGTCCAAAGTGTTTATCTTCCTATAGAACACCTCCCAATAGAAAATAGTAATTTTAGGAGGTACATGTCTAGACCAGATCTCCTTAGCTAGAAAACCCATAAGTCCTGGGGAAGAGCAAAGGGACTTAAAGAAAGAGGTGCACGTGAAGTAACCTTTTAGATGAGGGGACCATAATCTCACATCAGATCCGGGGGGTCCAGAAAAACACTTTCAAGTAGTGACAAAAGGTCTGAAACACGAGAGTTTCAGAGTTCATGATCCCTCAAGCCCCTACGAAACCCAAAGTCCCAATTCAGAGAGGATGGAGAAACAGGTGCTGGAAGAAAGTGAGAGATAGTTTTTTCCTTGTAGAGAGAAAGGGGATAGAGAGAAGGAAAAGTGCCCTTAAGAGCAGAATTGCCCACCCAGATGTCTTCCCAAAACAAAACAGAAGTACAAGAGTTGACATCATACTTGACAAAATTGAGGAATTGAAGGAGGATACTCTGAATTGCTTTCCAAGGGGTTGCCAACGTGGCTTGACACAATACACCAACAACCCATCCATTTCCCAAACTGTCATGTATACTATCTATCACCTCATGCCACAGCCTCTCCCATTCTATAGGCCACCTCCACAACCATTTTCCTAAGAGAGTTTTATTCTTTAAAACTAAATTCCCTAGACCCAACCCACCCTCCTCTTTCCTCCTATAAACTATTCCCCAATTTGTTAGATGATCATTTTTTCCTCCCCTGGCTCCCAAAGAAAATTTCTCATTAATCTCTCCAACTTCTTGGCCTCCCTAACAGGTATCCTGAAAACCGAGAAGTATTTACACCTGGAGTCTTCTACAGTAGTTCAGTGTGCTTTAAAATGATAAGTTCCATCGCTCCCCTCTTTCTATTTGTACAATAGTTTCTTATTAGGAGAGGCAATGGACTTGTTGGCTCTTTTCTTTTTCCTAGTGTACTTCCTTACTTTTTCATGAAGTCTTACTTTTTCACACTGCCATTTATTATGCCCCAGTTCTGAATTCCATACTCGATACTATGTCTCCCTGTAGAAAATAAAATTAATATTGAAGTAAATATGCACCCACAATTCTATTAAAAGCAAAAATCAACTAAATTGCAAATTGCAAAAGAAGCTCCACTTTTTTCACTGCAGAAGGGGCGGAAATTTTTTTTCAATCTGTAAAACTTCAGTTATATCTTTGGTCCTTTTACAGCAAGAGAGAGAGAGAGATTATTGCCAACTTACTGCTTTGACTGACGATATAATGTAATCCTTCCCCGGAGGGCTCAATACATTAGACGGTATTCTTATCCTATAGAATTCGTCATCCTTCAGCAGCTTCTGCAGGAAATAATGTTAATGCCTCATTAAAGCTACTGTCCGGTGCAAAACAATAACAGAAGAAAGAGACAAGTAGATGTAGAAGAGAAATTACTTTGAACTCTTCCTTCTCTGTTTCACTAAAACCAGTCCTTGAAAATCGAAGTTTAGTTAAAGTCTGCAAAGCCAAAAATTAAACTTTGACGTCAGAGAGAGAGAGAGAGAGAGGGAATTTGTCTTTCGGAATCAGAAATTCCCAACTGCTAAAGTCGAACAAAAGCCATTGAGACAAATTCAAGAACCAAAGCAGTAAATATACCCAAAGAAACTCACGAAGAAAGAAAGACCAAATTCGATCCTAAAACTGACAATCTGACATGAAAAAAGAAAAGAGAGGAATACCCACCTGTCCACCATGACTGGAGGTCTTGAGGCGAGCAGTGAAGGTTCCAGCAGGAGAGAAATCAGAGTCTGCAAAGGCATGTTCAAGCGAAAACTGAACCTTCGAATCCGAATCGTGATCAGATGAAGATCTCCTTCTTACCGGAGCAGACGGAGTTCGAGTAGGGTTTATGTGATCGAGGTCGGGAGCTCTTCTTCCTTCGAGTCCGAACTCCTCGTCGTCCTGAAGGAGCTCGTCGGATTGAAAGGCGGAGGACAAGATTATCAACGAGAAGAATAAGCAGAAGCAGAACAGTAGAGTCTTGCGATTTCTTCTCTCCATTTTGATCGATTCACGGATTCAATCAAAAGAGCAGTGATTGTTCTGATCGGTTTATAGGATAATAGGAGTTTCGGAATCTATTCCATCTTATTCTCTCTTCCTCATGGACCGGGCCCGGCCGGATTTTGGCAAATTGCACTATTAGGAATCCCGATTATAAAACGGGGCGGGTTCGGGGCGGGGATCATGTTCCCCGTCTCCGACCCCGATTATAAAAATAAACCCCATCCCCGCCGGAGATAAAATTTCTCCTCCATCTCCGATCCCCAACAGCCATGGGTTCCCGCGGGGATCCGAATTCCTGATTTTTTTAGATAACAGTATTTAACTATTTATTTAAAATAAACAAAAATTTTAAATTATAAATACTTTTTTAAATATGTTTTGATATATATATATATATATAATATAATAATATAATCTATATACATAATCGGGGTCAAGCGAGGCGGGGACCTCAATCCCCATCCCTAATCCTGACACTCGATCGGGAATTCCTATTAATCCCCATCCCTGTTCCCGCCCCACCAAAACAATCTTCATTGGGTCGGGGAAGTCGGGTCCCTACGAGGATGGAGAAAATTGTCATCCCTATGAACTTGTATGCCCTGTTTGGTTCAACTCTCGACACGGACAAGAATGGATAAAAATGGACATAAGGCTCGGTTTGGAAGGACTACAAATACAAATATATGTAGAGTGCTAAACTATGTATTTTTTGTATGTATTTGTACCATATATATTTGTATTTATACTCCGAAACTGAACTTAAGGAGAAAATATTGCTATAACCTATGAATCAAAATGCTTTTTCCCTAAAAAATGAATTCTTTCCAGACTGACAAGTGTCCTATATTACTCATTTTCATTTTTTGCAAAATAAAGTTGTGTCGACAATCATAGATCGCCGACCTAGGTCTCCAAACCCATCAGCATAGGTGTTTACTGGTGAATAGCCAGTGGTCAATGTTTGTCAATATAAGTTTCCACAGCAGTCCACTAGTAAGCATTTATTGTGACAGCTATGACATAGAATTTTTTTAAAGAATGAAAAGGAATAAAATGAGACATGATTACTTTTCATGATGCATTTTAATTTTTGTGCTATGAACTGATTTTTCATTTTGAAAAGAATAGAGCATATGGCAAGAATTTTGTAACCAAATGCCCTAATGTTATTCATTCTTGCCTATTCTTATCATAAATAAACAAGAATTAAATGAATGAGGCTCAAAGCAGCAAACTAAACACATATTAAAACAAAACATGCCATGTCATATGCATCTCCTTTCTCTCCTTCTCTGTCCCCACAATTCTAGATTGCCTCATTCCTTTCCTAAGTCTTATAAGTTGCCAACTTAGCATGGCATTCCCTTCCTTTCCGACTCCAAGTTAAGTTTCTATGCTAAGAAACCAATCCCAATATAGTAGAAAATCTCCCAACAAAATTTATTCTCAATTCCACTTTCCACTGACACGTATTTAGGATACAATGTTTTAGATGTGAACAATAACACGGAATGGAACATTCTTCTTGGATTGTCTAAGATGAATCAACGGAGAAGAACAAGTCATTGAAAGCAGTGATGGCAGAATTCATATCTTGTAGCCGTTTCAAGACCTTGAATCTAATTGGGTTGTTGGCCCCACGAAGAACCTAAAGGAATGCTCTTGAAAATTTACACTAATGCAATCCTTGGGAAAGATGACAACCATCTTTACCAAGGCTGTGTTTGGTTGTGCTACAAATACATTTCCGTACATTGTAAATGCAGTCATCAGTTTAGGTGTAAGCAAAGTGGGACCGGGTCCCCACTTGGATGAGCTGCAAATTAGATATGGAAAAAGCGTACAATTGTTTGGAGTGGAAATTTATAGAAGAATGCCAAAAGAAATTGGGATTTAGTCACACTTAATTAATTGCTTGGTCCAAGATTCAAAGCCAGTAGAAGAATAAGGCAAGGTGGCCCCTCTCACCGTACATCTTTATCATTTGTGCAGAATCCCTCACAAGCAAAGTAAAAAAGGTTTCTAAAAGTACAGAATCGAATATAGGGATTAAGTTAACCTTGAAGATTCCCATTCTACAATTTGCAGATGATTGAATGATCTTTGGTAGGGTGTCTATTAATGGATGCATTGGGATCAAATCAATCCTGCATCAAAATGAGATTGCACCAAGTCAGAAGGTTAATTTTAATAAATCTAAAGTTCTTTTTTAAAAAAAATTGCCCAATAGACTCCAAAATTTTGTTGCTCGAAATCTTGGAATCCCTAAGGCTACGAAATCTAAAAAAATATTTAGGGCTAGTCTTGGTTTAGTTACCCAAAAGCTTAATTGGAAGGCCAATACTCTCTCTAGAGCTGGAAAAGCAGTTCTAATTAAGTTTGTGACCAGTGCCATCCCTTTCTTTCGGATGGCCTGCTTTTCCCTTTTGACTCTAATGCTTAGGTTCAGTTTGGAAAGAGTATAAATACAAATTTGTTGAGTGCAAAATCATGTATTTTGTATGTATTTGCACTGTACATATTTATATTTGTCTTCCTTCCAAACTGAGCCTTAAGGAAATTGATAACACCCAAAGAGATTTTTTTTTTTTTTTAGTGAAAGTTCGAATAGGAAAAAACTTGTTTGGACAAAGTGGAAGAACTTATGCAAACCAACTAGTCTTGGAGGGCTTGGTTTTTGAGAAGCTAAAAGAAAAAATCAATTTGGCTTGCATGGCTAAGTTAGGATGGAGGGTGTTGAACGACCATGATAGTTTATGGGTAAAAGTAGTTCAAAATAAATATCTTAAAAATCAAAGTTTCTAGGAAGTTTCCCCAAAAGCTAATATGTCCCTTAATTGGAAAGGAATTCTTAGTAGCCGGAATTTTATCCTCAAGGGTATGAGATGGATTATGGGAAATGGAGATAATATTCTGATTTGGATGGACAATTGGACTGGGAAAGGTCCTCTATTTAAATTGTTGAACTTGGGGGAGCTTAGGATTAAGGGTCTGTTTGTTTGCTCTAAAGTTTTACATCTAAAAATGCAACAATTACATTAAGAGGTATATTGGTATTGGTGAACTTTTCTTTTATCTGAATGTGGAGAATGCTGTTTTGAATTCTGAATTTTGAAAATGATCAAATATCCATTTTGACCTCATGTATAAGAGTTTTTGTTTGTCTTTTTGGGAGTATCACTAAAAAACAAAAAATTGTATGATTGCATTTTAAGAGATAAGAGGAAACGAACAACCATTTTTCTCTTAAAGTTAAAAAATTCCTCTTGAGAGATAAGAATTAAGAGGAAACGAACAGGCCCTAACAATACTAACAATAAGGTTGGTGAGTTTTTTTAACCCAACTATGATGAGTTGGGAGTATTCTAGAATCCCAATAAATATTTTTCCTAAAATAAACAAATGTCCTTGAATGATATTTTATTCCAAAGACTAATATGAATGTTGAATTGAAATGGGGTCCGAGATGTAATGGGGAATTTACTACTAATTCAGCGACCTAGCTTTAAGCTGATATTGATAGCGATAATGAACAAGTTTTGGCTGTGAAGTTTCTTCCTAGGAAATTGAAAATTCAGCCAATAGTGAAGCTATTCTTGTTGTTCTCAAGTATGGGAAAAATACTACAAGATCAAGACTCACAAGTGTAGGCATAATTGTCCCATTTGCATCTCAAAGTTGGAACCAATTGATCATTTATTTGTGAATTGTACTTTCTCAAATCAAATTTGGACTCTTCTACCCCCCCCCCAAATGGGACCCAAATCCAATGAAAGATTTATAGATTGGTGGGTTAGAATATCTAAAGACCTGGGGGCAATAGAATCAGGAGAAAAATTGGCATAAATAATGTGGTCTTTAACTCTCAAACCCCCTCCCCTACAAATGTATTAGAAAACACTGCTTGTGATCTTAGAGACTTGAAGGATACCTCTCTACTCATCAACATAAGAGAGAATAGGAGAGAGATTATTTATGTAAGATGGAAATCAATTTTGTTGTTTCTGTTAGAAGCACCAGTTTGACTAGTATAGCTTGGGTGGCCAAAGACTGATTTGGAGCTATTCTTTCCTTCAACTTTCATTCCATTGGCTTCAACAATGTTACAGTTGTTGAGGCTTGGGCGGCATGGGAGGCTCTTCAAGGCACGCTAGAGTTACCGTTTGAAGATTTCGCTATCGAAGGAGACTCCACCCTCACCATCGCATGCATCAACTCAAAGTGCAAGCAATCATGGTTTTCGTTTAGCATATCATTAAAGACATCCAAGCATTCTATAAAAGCAATTAGAAGAGGTTCAAGTTCACTCACATCCAAAAAATAGTGCACTCTTCATATTTGGTAAAAACGATTCAAACCAAACGTGTTAAAATGTGGATGTTTGGATTATTACGAGGGTGCAAATCCAAGTCGAACATTGCTCAAGACATCTTAGTTATTGTTCTTATTTACTTTTTCGCCATAGTCGGTTTTCTCTTCGATGTTTTTTAGAAGACAACCTTGGACAGCTAAAGCTGAAATACAAGCAATCTTCAAGCACGTTTCAGGTGATTCAAAGCTTCATGAATTCAATAGAATTTAAATAGATCTCATTTGTAAAACCCTAGTTGTTTCAAATCTTGCAATTGAACCTCAAATACTAGCAATCTTTAAGCACATTTCAATTCCTTTACTCTTTTGTATGTTATATAGCCTTGACTTAATGTCTTTGGCAGAGGCGTTAAGCTGCTCCTTTGGGGAATTTAATTGCCTATGTTTGGTTTGAAGGAAAAGGTAAGGAATGACAAGGAAATCAATACAAGGGTTGTAAAGGTTTTTCTACATTTCCCTACATTTTCCTTCAAACCAACATAGTGGAAAGGTAGGGAAATTTATACAAAATTTGTAAAGGTTTCCCTACCTTTTTCACTTTTTCCTTCAAACCAAACACAGCCTTATGGACTAGGACACAATCAATCATAGGACATGATTCTGAGGAGGAAATATTATTCAGGAGAAAAAGATCCTTGTTTCAACTTTGCTGGAGAGGGTTTGTTGCCATGGAAAGCTT